TGTTAGACATTTATTTATGCGAGTCCTCGCGCCAGCAAGCATACTCCCCCGCGCCGAGAACATAAAGAGCGGCGCTACACTCTTTTTCACTTGTGCTTCTCAGGTGAATGACAGCCGCTGAACAGTAAGAACGAAACGGACAAGGGAAACTTGGGCAAAGCCTCGGTCCTGGGTATCAATCGCCGCTGGCTATTTGCACGCCCAAATTATTTTCGCCGAAACTATAGGGTTTTCGACGTTGTGACTTTAACGGGGAGTTAGTCTTATTCATTTGTACCTTCCTTTGACATGTTGCCCGTATCATTTTGTTTAAATGAGCGAAATTTCAAGGTCATGAACCATCACGGATTTGCATTTTTTTACCAATTCACGCGACAAAACACGAATTAGCACTTTAGCACATTTTAGCTTTCTTCGGTGTTCTTTATGAATAAAAGACCTCCGAAGAGTACCTTATGCGAATTTCACCCTGGATGACCCGTTGTTGACGTTTGTTTGCCTAACGCTCTTCAGATTCACTAAATGCGATTATAATAGAAAAATATGTTTTGGCAAACCTGGTCACGACACATTTTCCCGTGGGTCTCAAATTCTATTAAAAATAACATTTTTAAACAGCAGCAATTACAGTAGCAACTCGACGGCCATCTCTGTTGGTGATCTTCTTTTCCAGATATGCATATCCAACCTGTAGATCAGACGGCGTCACGAGATAGCTACAGGTATCCTTCCTATTATGAAAATGACGCTCTATAGGAGGCGACCGCCAAAAACCGCCGTGATAACGGTGACCGTTGTCACTACCTCGACCACTTATCTTAATTGCTGGGTCCGCGTCTATGTGCGACGCTTATTATGGGGCCTCATTCATCCACCGTAGCCTAATCCCATGACCAACGACAGCGCCTTATATTCATTACTCTGCACGTTGTCACTTATCTGGAATACTTATTGTAAATGCTAGGCCCGCGACTATGTGCGACGTTGATTATGAGAACTCACCTGTGCACGGTGGCATAATCCAATGGCAAAAGACGGTCTTTTATACCCATCACCATACGCGGTGCCGCTTATCTTTGCTACCTATAGTAAACAGCAGGCTAGTATCAATGCGTGCCGCTGAAAATGAGGCCTCAATTATTCGTGATAGCCCAATATGATGGCCTTTCATACTCATTCTTGTACTCGATGTTGCCTTACCTGGCTCCTTACCATACCCGCTAGCTCCGTGCCCAAGTGCGGCGTTGATTAACCGGTAACTTACTCCATCATAACCTGACATACTCGTAACTGTACGCGTTGTTGCTTATCTTTGCTACTTATGGTAAACACCAGGCCAGTGCCAATATGCGACGCTGATTATTAGGCCCCAACCATCCGCACTGCCCCAATTTAACTGCTAACGATAGCCTGTCATACCCATGACTGTGCGCGCTCTTGCGTATGTCTGCTATCTACAGTAAACACCAGGCCATTATCTATGCGGCCGATAACAAAGAGGCTAGAACTATGCGTGATATCCTAATATAACGGCCAATGACAGCCCGTCACACTCGTACCTGTAGTCGATATCGCCTACCCGGGTTACTTATCGTAATTGTTAGGCCTGTGTCTATGTGCGACGCTGAGCATGAGGCTTCAGCTATGCACAGTAGCCCAGTCCAACGATCAACGACGGTCCGTCATTCTCACGATCAACGACGGCCCGTCATTCTCATAACTATACTCAATGTCACGTACCGAAGCTGCTTTAGTAAATGCCGGGCCCGTGCACATGCTCGTAGCCGACTGCGATGTCCCAACATTATAGACTAATCCAACGACCAACGGTGGTCCTTCATATCCATACATCGTCCGCCGGCTAAAATCCCACGCCTGAAAAATATACAACCACCTTTAACAAATCATGTTTCTACTTATCGGTTGCATCGGTACAACACATAATATGTGGTCAATCCAGTAATCAGTTTTTACTGGACAGGTTTCCTGAAAAAATATATAATCAACTGTGACTCGCACACATCGGCTTCGATATCATTTAAAACATAATTAAAAAATTTGGGGTACTAACTCAACAAGTGCTTAACTAACCCCTTTGTCCAGAACCCCAGTCGGCGTCCGCGCTGAACCTAGTTACTCGCTCCGACAAAGCTAAGCTCACTACTTGATGAATTAGTCCAGTTAACGATAATGAGGGAGCCTTGTGCACGTCGATGATTCGATAACGCGATTCGGCAAATATATGCATTATTTGGCGCGGCAAAGTTAAAGCTTAAGATAGGTGTTTACTTGTTAGTCGTAAGATCAATTGGTGCATACTTGAGCCTTAGGATCTCAGGGCCAAACGCGTTCTCAAGCGTGCACCCATGGAGGCAGCCTTAGCAAAGGTCTAGTGAGTGAGCAGGTGCTTTGTGTCAAATCCGCTTATTTAGAGCACCAAATCCCAACTTCACTCGATTTCTGCTCCCTGATACCGATACCATGTAGCCCAATAAAATCGACAACTCGGTCTTCCACATCAAAACTTGTAACTATCACATACTCAACCACTGACTTCCGTTACGAGGCTGTCCAGAAACCGAAGTATTTCAGTGCAATGATCAAATGGCACTGCTATACCCTCAATTTGATAGCACACCCGCAACCATGCTCTTTCGTCTCTTGTTTGTACCGTATCGCCCACTTGTTCTTTTACCTGCAAATACAAGCAAACTCACGCTTTCTTTTGACTAACCTTATGATGGGAAAAAACAAGACTGGCACTGCTATACCCCCAGTTTGATAGCACACCCGAAACCATGCTCTTTTGTCTCTTGACTGTACCGTATCGCCCACTTGTTCCTTTATCTGCAACTACAAGCAAACTCACGCTTTGTTTTGACTAACCTTATGATGGGAAAAAACATCATCGCGGTGACGTGACACTTTGTGGGTACCAATTTTAGACAAATGGACGGAATGATTTTGGTCAGTCCATCCAAAACACCTGCGTCTTATCCTCCTATTTGAAGATGGGATTGATGTCTTCATACTCCAGATCGACGGGATTTTGCCAGATGTTTGAAAACCGGGTCTAGATGACATTTCAGCGTTCGTCTCATTGCCCCGTCAATCACGAAATCAAATGGGAAAGGAGATAGGGCGCTATTGACGGACACAATTTAGTCTACGGAAGCTTTAGGAGCCCCGGTAAATTTCCGTAACGTGCACCTTCTGTCCGCGACGATGCAAAAGACTGCAAGATTGACAACTCTCACTTTAACTGCATGCCCTCTCCCGAAAACACACTCCTTCCGCATCACGAACCTCATAATCGGCCTTCTGCAATGAAGAAAGAAAAAACTGATTATGATCTAAGCTTGCCCTGGTCGCAGCATGCATCCTGAACAATTACCCTATGAACCGAAATACCCGTTGATAGAAGAGGAAAAGATACTATCGGACTCATCACCTACACCTGATGTAACGCCTTAGAGGCAAAAAGAAAAAATTGATTATGATCTAAGCTTGCTCTGGTCGCAGCATGCATCCTGAACAATTATCTTACGAACCGAAATACCACTGATAGAAGAGGAAAAGATGCTACGGGACTCATCGCCTACACCTGATGTAACGCCTTAGAGGCAACTGGTTCTACAAAGCTCCAGGCTTTTCTTTCGGCTGTAACAGCTCCATTCTGAGGTCAGCACATCGTACGAACAGGCATCACTACCAGATATCTCTTATCTAACGTCTATGAAGGCTCAAAGCTATCTTACTGGCGCACAATCTAGCCAGTGCACGTCCATCATGCTCACATATGTCCTCGCCAGTTCGCATCGACCGCACACCTATTACCTCCACCTCAGTGTCTATCATCGTTTTTGAAATCGCACAGTGTCGACTCATTGAGGTAGTCAGGAATTATGACGACCTCTGAATGTCTGTTATTTCGGGAGGCATTCTGGAAAACCTTTCGGACACTTTCCCATTTTGAGTCCCAAATGTAGACATGGCTAACTTATTACCTTGTTAGAATGGCAGCAATGAACCACAGTGAACCCTCGATAGACACAAGAATATCCTAACTACAATTACAACCATAAATGGCTCATCCAAGATGTTCATTTACAGGGCTGTCCACGAACCGATGTACGGCGTCGCGATGAGGGTACAGCGACTACTGTCCGATCCTGTGCTAAGGCCGTGATCTCAAAGCAAGGAATAGGTTACTTAGCCTAAACGCACGATCTAGGTGTCCTATCTGACAGGTAACGTGTAGTCTGGTACAGCGATACCATACACAGCCTAATGGCTTTCCCGTAGTTCACTACCTCGATTTCCCAGACGAATGTGTTACCCAGAATACCGTTTCAGTTCGTTCAATTTGTTCAAGGATTTGAATCGGTGGCCATCTTATTGCGCCGTCTGCTTGTTCTGCCCAAAAAACCAATAGTTCATCCAACGGCACTGCTGGTGGCTAGGTATATCGGTGAAGATCGAAACTTGCCTTAAGCCACATACAGTGTATGCTGACCACCATGCATGAACAAAAACTCACCAATTGTGACAAATTCATTGGCTTCAGTGGAACGCCCGTAGCAACCACAGAAGAAAATTTCATACCCGGGTTGTGAATGTCTGTTCCAATTTAAGCTTTCGCGGACGTAATGGGTGTGACTACTGTCTCAGTCGTTTAAAGATTATTTCCAAATCCAGTACGTAAGAAAACACGCGAAGAAGCCAGCTTTTTCGCAAAATTTGACACCATCTTCACGGAGACAATAGGCGAAGCCGCCGCAGCCAGCGAAATTCGTATTCCGCGCCCACAGTGGACTCCGAGCTCCTTTAAGCAACTGCCAATAAAGCTGCGGTCGCGTGGGGAGATCTTAAGCGCCCGAATAATTTCCATAAAATGCTAAGACTTTATGTTAAAGTTTCCCTTTTTCAAAACCACGTGTGCCTCTAGGACGCGGTGTAAGTCCGTGAGTCCGTGAAAAACCAATATTTGCTTGGGCTTGGTTTGTGGGTGGGCGGACATTCGCGCTACCTGCCTTTGGCACTTCACGTTTGCTCGTATTTACTTCCCGGACTGGGAATGTTAATAAGGTTGGTTGAACTATGTAGACAACGATACAATGATATGTTAGTCGTGTAGCTTTGCGGCTGTCGAACAAACGCAGCGCAGCCGTCTCTCTTTTACCGAAAACTAAGGCAGTAAGTATTTCCTGTGGTTTGTGCGTACTTTACTAACCAATGAGGTTTATACTCAAAAGGTTCGACCAAAGGGAATCTAATAATCAGACTGCACAAATTATTGTGTAGGTTGACCCGCATGGGACTACCTCAGTGCTAACCAGGTAAACCAGCATATTTTTCTGTAAATCTTCCCTATCGTGTGTTGAGTGGTATTGGTAATTAGGTGATGATACTGTCGTGAACGATTGTAGACTAAAGTCGCTGCCGGTAATTGTCCGGCTCCATTTGCGCGATCCTGCTGACTGGGCCGAATACCTGGCTAAACCTGCCGGCTCTCGGTCGGACTATCGTTTTCTGCTAGTCTCGATACTAATGCATAATTATGTTTTCAAAAGGGAAATTAGATGAAGTTGCTTGCGAGCAGGCCTGCTTTCGGTGCCTTAGCAGGCCTCCCGATGTCTCTTCTGGGGCTACCAGTCTTCTTGTCCAAGGAATTCATCGTCGTTCCGTATATAAAAGCTGGTACAATTTAGGACTCAGGCTCATTAGTGAAGGACAGTTGTCAATCGAAGATAGTTGAAAATATACCCAGAGGATCAATGAGACTGTTTGATTAGGCAACTGGCGAGACGTAAATGGTAGCATTTGCTTGATCACGGGGGCCTCCGAGGCATTGCGCGGGTCTGATCGGAAAGTCAAATCAGGAATACTGAGGTATGCGAGTTGCTCCTCGGGGACAGTCACTCTCATTCGATAGACCAGCCGGTCGTGATCTATAGTTAGGTCACGTATTTCGTATTTCAGAGGAACGTTTGCTTTCTTCCCAAGCCATGTATCAGGTAAAAGCGACCGAGGAGCAGTCGGTCCATGACGTAGCAACGATGCTCGAAAGTCCTTAATGGTCAACGCAGTCGCTTTTTAAACTGTCGCCTCCGTATGGGAATCCCGGGACAAGATAAACCAATGGTTAGTAACTAATATATTAAACGATGTCACGCAGCCAATTGGACGCTTGCCTCAAAACTGTCATCCCCTGTCATATCAGACAGATGATAGCCTCCAACGCGTGGTTGTCTTCTAATTCGCGGTGAACGAAGCTGTGTCGGCTAGAACCGTTGCCATTTGGTACACGACTTTTAGCTAAAAACCGAACATGTGGCTTTAGGGCAACCAGAAGCACGCCATTGGACCCACGGAATTTCCTCGCCGGGCAAATTAGGTGAGCGCAAGGTTCCATTTTTGTCATTTCAAGGATTAATGCGTGTTTCGCTCATCTATGGCCTCTGTAAACGTTTATCCCAGTTGAGTAACTGAAAGCTTACCAGTCTTCACAATTTAACTGTGACAAATAATTCAGTTGATGTAAGTTTAACAACATGAATTGTAAATTTAACACACGGTGGACAGTAAGTCGTACCAAGATACTTAGTAAAAGTTGCGGACGATTAAAACGAAAAAAATCATTTTTAGGCCTTTCGAAAGCTTTCGACGAGGTTAAAGTGGACAAGCCTGGTGTTGGTTAGATGATAGGCCTTTGGAGACGGTCCGTACTTCAGCTTGTGACTGACGAAATCTGGCAAGTGTTTGCCATTGCTTTCGATAGGAAAATCACCACCCATGTTACCCCCTGCCACCGGGGCACACTAACATGCAACCTGCTACTCTATCCTTCACTGCAGGCAGCAGATACTCTTATCGATATTCCTCCTCTCTAGTGAAGACAGACGCCTCGTCGTAGTGCTAATTTGTTCACTCAACCACTCTCTAGGACGACCACAAATCAGCTGCCCTTCGGGCCTCAACGAACGTAAGTTAGTCTCATCTGTTATTCATGAATGAATTCGACGTTTTTTCATTCTCAGACCCAGTGTCCCATGCGTCTATTTGAGGATAACCTGCTAGGTTTAATCCATTCTTTTCGTTGTTTAATCATGTGACGTCCACTCGCTACCGGGGTTCCAACACTTCGTTCTTGCTCGGCCTAATCCTGATAACCAAGAAACTCTTGGTAGAAGCGTTCCCGTACCACTGCTTAGTTGACCTCACCGACCATATGGTCCTCGAATTCTCTTAATTTACCAGAGCACCTGCCAATCGCAACTCTGGCGTTCGCTCCAGAGCCAAAATCAACCTTTCGGCACTGGAGCTGGCCCGAGTCAGTGACTGGAATTCCATGAGCGCACTGCCGATACTGTGTCACAGACATAAATCTGCTGTAACTCTTGAGGAATGGTGTCTGTGGCAGGACAAAATAGTGAGTGATGGAACACAATTTTGCACGGAGACGACACGAAAGGTCTCTCAGCGAGGGAAACGAGAGATTAAGCGGCTCTGAGAAACCACCGTACCTCACATGTCCGCGAAGACAAGAAGTATTCACAATTGTCGTTTGGTACACTTGTCACATCAAACCTGACATCCACAATCGACGAAAAAGTGCAAAGTGAGGCATACTTCTCTTTCACCTGGAAGGCAGTTTAGCGGGCACCTTAGAGGAAGCAGCAAATTCTCTATTGAGTCAATACTCTTCTCTGTTGGCCCCAACGCCTTACACCACTCATCCCAAATATCCTATGTAGACCATATTGCCATTACCCCAATTACGACGGAGCACAAACTCGAAATTCCAAAAATGCGCCGCCGCGTGTATTGACGAAACACGACCCAGAAACCTGTCTTAGCCGAAGACAGCTATGCAGCTTTCAAAACGTTACCACTCCTGCTGTCCCTATATAATAGAGACATGCTTATCACGTCGATCTACGAGAGGGATAGACGGTCTAATCCAGCTATCTACTGACCCACCACACCCACCGGTACTGTCCACGGTAATGGAATCCATTTTGGTAGATCATTCGTGAACACACTTAGTGCGCTACAGTATACTGTCGCCAAAATAGCACGGTATCAGGCACAATTGCTCCTGCCTCACGAACTTTCTGCTCACTGGAGACAGGTCTGGACACTGGATTTGAGGTGGACGTTATGTACCGACCGTGAAGTCCGGCATGAAAGATAACCAGAAGGTCGGCAATGCCCGGAGAGTATTTTAGTTGATCTACGTGACCGGTCCTTGGAAACCACCTTGTTTGAAACCATCAAGGATTAGAATGGAGTAATCGTCTTCTATAAAGAACGCCATTCAGGGAGTCATTCTAGTCCCCGATAATTTCACTGAAAAGAAGTTTCCGTGGACCAGTCGAACGAATCAGGTGAAACTGTTTGCTTTTCACATCTGTTTCCCTGACCTACTGAGATGGGGACCGCGTGATCCCTACTGTGCCTGGTTAAAAGCGCTTCAAGATGTGGCTGCTAATCGATATCGGTGGCGTTCGTGTTGTCAGTTTCCATTCAGGTTTCTTGAGTGAGTGTCCGGAGGTGTAACCACTTCGAAATGACAGTAGTAAGCTAGCCTGCTAGCTAGTTGTTGAACACTCATGTCATACTCTCGATGCTGATGATAACTTTTGGACAATCTGACCATTATCGTTTTTGTGCATGGGCCTTGCAATCCAAGAAGCAATGGAGGTTGTGGAGAGTTTTTCGTTCCTTGGTGGTTGTATTCGCTAGAGGATCTGATTGAGAACTTTAATCGTCCTCCTGTCTGGGCGTGAGCGCCCTGTCAGCATCCCAGCCCGCATACAACCATAAAATTCACAACCAAAAATACTACCATACCTCATGAACCATCGCGTGGTTTCACCAGCCGGTTGCCCTTCTTGCTGCATACGACAGTGTGGGTAAACAAAAGCACACTATGACTGACGCTTCTGTCCTACACTTCCACTCCCCCCCCCCCCCCCCATCCTAATTCGAATACTCTCTTCGCAGGTCCCAGCACTAGGACTGATCGTTCTGTCCGCCATGCGCCACGCTCAGCTGCAGCTTCTGCGCGTCCGACTTCAGTAGCAACCATAAGCACCTCGATGTATGTGTTCAAACTCTAAAAGCTGGTCTACTTAGCTATCCTTAATATCCGCACGCTGAAGCAAGCGGAACAACAGGCAGCTCTTGTTCGTACGCTGGACTCGCTTTGCGTTGGTGTATGCCATTTGTTATCGGGAGATAGACTCATGAGAATCAAGCTGGGTTTCACCTAACTGAGGACCCGTTGACCATATCTTTGCCTTGAAACAAATACTTAAAAAGCATCACTCCTTCAAACGTCCCACGGCGGTTGTTTTTCCTAATATAAAAGTTGCTTTGGGCTCGACAGTCGAAAATCGTGGCGGTTTCCGACGATCGCAGGGATCCCTTCCAAATTTATACCCCGTAGGAAGACACTGTATGCAAACTCCCGTGGGCGCGCATGAGTATACGTAAGGTTTCGCCTGAATTCACCACGTCCAGCGGTGTGAGGCGAGGCTACCCGGTTTCACCCTTCCTCGGTCGCGCAGTCAATGGCGCTCTTGCCTTCAATCCGTGGCTACCCAACTCCAAAACTAACTGAACAGGCCATCACCTCCAAGGATTGGCTGTATGTCCTACCCTCGAAACTGTATCAGCTAGAACCAATGTGCCTATGGTACAGATATCACTATCATTATCATGGACAGCATGTCATCGGTGTTCAACACCCATGCTTCATTGCCGTACAACCATGATTTATCTAAAACCTTATTGTGAAGAAAAGGATAAAGGTGGACAGGGAGTAGACTCAGTGTTACCTTACTACAATCATTTCGAAGCGCCTTCACCTCCAGATACTCATTCAGGCAGTCTGGATAGAAACTGACATCCTGGAAGCCGATTAACATTGGTAAAACCCAAACGTTTAGTGATCTCTTCTATATCCCTGTGTCAGGTCAAGAATTGGGCACCTCTCTGCTTCCGCCACTCTGAATTGAGCACGGGAAACAGCACTCTTTTCGGCAAACGATGTTTCGGAATACGCAATACATGGCCTAACCAACGCAGCTTCTGGTGCTGAGCACATTCTTCAATGGAAGCTCCTGTTGCACAACCGAAATCTGGCCTTTTGATTACTTCGTTATGGATTCACCGACACCAAAGTACACGAGCTATGGTTCTGAAACGATTTTTGACCATCTGAAGACGTCTCAATTCCGCTGCTCGAACAGCCTACGTCTCACAGCCATACAAAAAAACAGCCATCATTGTAGCCTGATGCACCTATGGTTCATAGTTTATTGCTGATTAATTGATGTTTCAAAAAAAACCATGTTATCAGTCTGGAACAAGGACGCAAGTGCCGTAACTGAACTGACTGCTCCTTCGCTCTCTTCTAGGTTCCGGCTGCTCATCTCTTGGAATGAGGAGACAGCTGCAGCTGGATATGCCGGGACGTTGAACGATCGAGCGAAAATCTCTACTTGATTCAATACTCCTTGATGGTTGCTTTATGCGGTTCGTTTATTGCGTGTGCTTACGCCCATACGCTAGCCCTAAATCTGTAAAAGACACTTTCTATGTCACTATAGGTGCTGTTTAACAACAGACTAAAAGCTTGGACATCGTTGTGGTTACTAATGACACGAACGCTCATCTGGGTAGACTACTACCGATTAGGTAGTAGTCTTGAATTGGATGCGGAACGCGTGAGCAATGCACGTCGCCCGCTTCAAGTGTGTACCGTTCACAAACTGTTCCTTTGCACTGCCAATTTCCGAAACAGTGGAAAACGCTGGACAGCGTGGTGTCCATCAACAAACCGTCACCGAATTCAAATGCACCACACTATCATCACTCAATGTGTCGATCATTTACTGCTAGTTCTGGATGTGTTCTAGGACTGAACTACCTGATGCGCAAACAAACACTCATTCTCCGATTACTTCTGCGAATTCGTTGAAGCCATGCGACACAAGCAACGCTTCTGAGGTATCGGTGGCCAAAAATCCGACCGAGACTCACATGACCTGTCCGTGGAGACCTGAAACCGAAGAATAACTGTTCAGTCTAGTTGATCTAAACCATTGGAAGCTCGGCTATAGTGTTCAAGCACTGATGCTTCGCTGCTGTACACTTAATTTATTTAAAGGCCATGTTGTTAAGAAAACGATAAAATTCACCATACCACTTCTGTCAGAGCTGGTACAACTGCCGACGTATGTGAAATTCTCCACGATTGCCAGGGTTTCTCTCTGAGTTGCCCGTTCTGACCTTACGCTTTGAAGTGGCAAGATGTATGACAAAGGAAGGTATGATGGTGATCAGTTTATCCAATAGATATTGGCTAACACTACCATCGTTTAACAGAAGGAGGAAAAGTCGTCAGGGTCAGGAGAACGATGAAGTTTGAGTAGAGATATACACTCGGACACTTCTAGGGCTGAAGAGAACGGCAAATTCACAGTCCACCGCTCTGTTGAAAATTTGCATTCCGGATTGGATGGTCCAAACGTACTCATCAGCATGATATCAGAGAGCCAGTTTGGTCCCTGATGGTTTCGCTGAAAAGTGGCTTCGAGGACCAGTTGAACAAATCAAGCAGAATAGCCTGCAGAAGTTTACAGCATTTTAAGGGTAGTCTACTCCGATTTTTCGGATTCACCCAGCATCTCGGTCTGCAGGGACCCTGTTTCACCTGGCATCGGATGATACGTGGAATTGGGTTGTGGTTGCGTGTAGTAATTGAGTTCGACACCAATATCAGTGTAACCAAATGAACTATAAATTCAGAATTCAGCATGGCGTAACAAGTAGCACGTATGCTGTCAGACTAACGTATGTGTATAGCACTTGGAACATTTAAACAATAGAATAATGAATAGAGCATCAATCACGTTCATCACATCTGCCACACCTTGAATGGGCATATAGATGTTTATAGTTTGCTTTCAAATCGCACAGTGTGAAGCGCAGTTGCAGACATGTGGCTTGTCACAGGCGGAAAAGACAGATGCGGCCGAGCGGGTAAATTAGAGTCGACCTAACTGGTAGAAAAAAGGGTTAATATCTGTACAACGTGGGTGTAACCACACAACAATGCAGCCGTCAAAGTAGCCTGGTACGTACGACCTTTGTGCCCAGTGATATTTGTTTCTGATGCCACAAGTGAGGTAAATTAACAAACATGATTCAGGCCTTTCAGGTCTGTGCACTGACTTCACCAGACACACTTCTGTCAGAGCTGGTACAACTGCCGACGTATGTGAAATTCTCCACGATTGCCAGGGTTTCTCTCTGAGTTGCCCGTTCTGACCTTACGCTTTGAAGTGGCAAGATGTATGACAAAGGAAGGTATGATGGTGATCAGTTTATCCAATAGATATTGGCTAACACTACCATCGTTTAACAGAAGGAGGAAAAGTCGTCAGGGTCAGGAGAACGATGAAGTTTGAGTGAGTAGAGATACTCGGACACTTCTAGGGCTGAAGAGAACGGCAAATTCACAGTCCACCGCTCTGTTGAAAATTTGCATTCCGGATTGGATGGTCCAAACGTACTCATCAGCATGATATCAGAGAGCCAGTTTGGTCCCTGATGGTTTCGCTGAAAAGTGGCTTCGAGGACCAGTTGAACAAATCAAGCAGAATAGCCTGCAGAAGTTTACAGCATTTTAAGGGTAGTCTACTCCGATTTTTCGGATTCACCCAGCATCTCGGTCTGCAGGGACCCTGTTTCACCTGGCATCGGATGATACGTGGAATTGGGTTGTGGTTGCGTGTAGTAATTGAGTTCGACACCAATATCAGTGTAACCAAATGAACTATAAATTCAGAATTCAGCATGGCGTAACAAGTAGCACGTATGCTGTCAGACTAACGTATGTGTATAGCACTTGGAACATTTAAACAATAGAATAATGAATAGAGCATCAATCACGTTCATCACATCTGCCACACCTTGAATGGGCATATAGATGTTTATAGTTTGCTTTCAAATCGCACAGTGTGAAGCGCAGTTGCAGACATGTGGCTTGTCACAGGCGGAAAAGACAGATGCGGCCGAGCGGGTAAATTAGAGTCGACCTAACTGGTAGAAAAAAGGGTTAATATCTGTACAACGTGGGTGCTGAAAGTCCGTGGAGACCTGAAACCGAAGAATAACTGTTCAGTCTAGTTGATCTAAACCATTGGAAGCTCGGCTATAGTGTTCAAGCACTGATGCTTCGCTGCTGTACACTTAATTTATTTAAAGGCCATGTTGTTAAGAAAACGATAAAAGTGGATGAGAATGGAGTTAGTGCTAGCCTATCACATTCATTCCAAGGTGCCTTCACTTCCAGACGTCCGTTCAAGCAATCTGGATAGGAACTAGCGGCTGGAACGCCATCGACACTGGCCTAAATAGCGACCTGGGGGAGTATCTTCGTGTGCTTCATCAATAGCCGGGGGGCTGCACTGAGCGTCAGAGATGTAGAGGTGTGTGTGCTGAGAAAGCACTTACCATATAAGCGGGTTTCAACCGGTCAGTATTAATGATTTCAAGTCGACCCTGAGATCAATCGCGAACTTCTTCGCAGAATGTCGTAGTACCTCATGAGGACCGGTATAAGGTGTTTGGAGAGATCGTCGGGCTGCCTCGCAACGCAGCAATACGTGGCCTACCCATAAAAAGTTGTGCCGTGAAGGAGGCATCAGTTTGAGACCATGTTGTCGCTTTTTGTAAAAGACATGCACGTAAACAGCCCAGTGGCATTGTATACGTGATCAGATACTATTGGTGGGGCCATGGTGAGAAGATCCTATGACAGTCGTAAAGCGGTTCCATGTACGAGAGGTGCTAGATACTCTTCCTATCCGACTTATCAGTGTTACGTGCGCCTTATCTGGAATGCCTTATGTCTTCTGGCTTCCCATCTTGAATTGCTTCTCTGTAAACTAAGAGAATCGCTCTCTGTCTCTTCGTTTCACAGATGTCATCAATGAAGGAAAGTGGCATCAAAGTGTGTTGTAGTTCGGGGACTCCGAGCGCCACTGGAGGATGTGGCGACTACTCACCTGTTGGAAAATTGGTTCAGCTGGCGGCTCCGGGACCTACTGCCTACTATGCGCAGCCAAAAGAGGGTCCTCTGTGCAGCAACAGTGCCCTTATTGTGATCTACGATATATTTGGCATAGATATTCTGCAAACGAGACGTTTTGTCGATCTTCTTGCGGAAAAGACTCACCGACGTGTCGTGATGCCCGACGTTTTCCGTGGCCATCCATGGTTGTTGAAAAATTTCCCTCCGAAAAATGGCGGAGAATTTGTCAAATGGGTGGAAACCGCAGGAAGTTGGGAAATAGTTTCTGCGGTACGTTGTGGTTTGTTTCTTTAGGTTTGAAACCTTTCCTAACTCCGTCGCATTTTGAAATGAGGAATTCAAATGAACGAAAAGACATCCGGGGATATAAACGGGACCTAACTCGCCTGCTAAATGGTCGCCTCCCCGTCTGGACGATCGAGGATCCCGTCCAGTTTACAGTAGTATGTTGAATACCGTTTGTTGACGAGTGTTTTAAAAAGTAACTCACATTCATTAGCGTTTCTACAATGGTAGCACCTCAGCCTAAATTTCGCAATATTTTTTTTACCAAAATCCATGTTACTCTGGTCTGTGTTATTCTGGACTCCTAATCAACCTGAGTATACTCCGACATAAGCCTTCTTTCGTCATCTATAAGTATCCGATACCTTTGTCGTCCCTCGATTACGGAAACGAAGCCTTGGACCCACTAGTGACCATCTCTCACCAACAAACTAACGTCAGTATCACTATCTGGCTTGAATTGACCAAACATTGAGATTGCATTTCTCACGTTGTATCAGAGGACTTAGTTACGCATAAAACGCGGGATAACTTAACTCCGGTCCACGACCTTATGCTTACCGGAAGTGTCCTAAGCCCATTGTCAGACTTATGCAGTGTTCTGTCACTAATCGGTGTACTACTTCACCAATTTACCCGACAGGACCTCAAATCTGCCCACGAGTTCCTCCTCGCAGACGGTCTGAGTAGTTCGGCACCATTGGGTATTTTGGGGTTCTGCTGGGGTGGCAAGCAGGCTATTCGTGCGTGCTCTGGCGATTCACATGCGAGTAAGCTTGGATTCAAATTCCTGGCTGGAGTGAGCCTTCACGGTGCATTCTTGGGCCCTGAGGACGCCAAACACGTGACCGTACCTATGTTGTTCATGCCAGCTGGGGACGATCCAGATATCGGGCCAATAAAGGAAATTTTGGATAAGAAACCGTTTGGGACGCAATGTGCTTACCACCGATTCGACTCGGAAACTCACGGCTTTGCCGCAGCACGTGGGGACTGGAATGTCCCTCACACCCGAGAAGCCATTATGAAGGCATTGGATCTTGCTGTTGAGTTTTTCAACAAGAACTTGCCCTACTAATTTACGACTTGAGAGTCTCACCCAGTGTTCATTTGCCATTCAAGTACCATTTAACCATAGATCAATATTTTGTCAATGGAATCTGATGTGCTCGAATAAAGTTTCACTGGTTCGTGGTATCTTCTCGATGTATTTGACTCGGCCTTTAATTGATTCGCAGAGCTGCGTTCCACTCATTCAATCGATTTTTTTCTTTGGCCATGACCTAGTGGTTGGTATTCATTCATTCCAATTTTCTTGGACGGTCCATTTTTTTCAAGCAAATGCAGGTCGTGTTGCCGGGCATTATTTGAGGACTTCGCCTTTGTGGTTAAGCAAGTCGGATATTGATTCATCAGAGTCCGCAGCTCGATGATATCTGAGAGTGAGATGTACATCCAAAGCAAATGGACGTCCCACGTTGAAGACTCGGTTACTGCTCCAAAGTCTAGTTTGGAAGCGCAAGTGACCAGCTGAGTCGCCGTCCCGTGTGTCTCCCCCAGAGTCCAATTGCTGTTCTTTGTTGGAAAAACTCATTCGGCTGTAGCACCCTTTCGGTGTCTAACTGCCATGCCACCCGAAGGAAGCATGAGGGCTGGGATACTGCCAGGTTGCCCAAGCCCAGAAAGGGAAAATAAATAAATAATAAATCGTCCAGCTGTAGCACCCTTCCGGTGCCTAACTGCCATGCCACCCGAAGGAAGCATGAGGGCTGGGATACTGCCAGGTTGCCCAAGCCTAGACAGGGAAAGTCGAGTGGCATAGGTCGGGTTCGAACCACGAACCTTCCGGTCAGTAAATTCGCGCTCTAACCACTTGGTCCATCTCGCCCCCAGAAAGGGAAGTTCGAGAGGAAGGGGTCGGATTCGAACCAAGGACCTTTCGGTCAGTAAATTCGTGCTCTAACCACTGATCCATCCCGCCCCCTTCTCTTTGTTGGACATGAGCTGATCGTTTTCAATGGGTTGTTTTTTAGTTTGTTGCACGAGTTAACTGAAACGGTTTCGCTTCCTCGATTTCTTGAACCCACAAAGCTTTCCAGTTAGTAATTCCACTTGACTTCTTGCAATACGTCTGTGTAGTGTATTCGGCATCAATCGGCAAAGGGTCCAGGAGACTCAATGTACTTTAAAGTGTTGTAGGAGATCCCATACTTCGATTTAGCTGATTAGCGCGTCCTGTACTGTTTTGCGAATTGCGTCCAGGCGGAGACTTGTTACTTTATATGGATTGGCTGACAGGCATTGCGAAGGGCAGCTTTTAACTTAATTTTGCTGTATGATTCGCGGGTATTCGCTAATTGATGCGTGCGGGTTTTGCAGAGCGCAGCAATTGCCAGGCGACCCAACACAAAGTGTTCCAAAACTGGTAGCCGCTACCTGATAACGTGGTCCTTTTGCATTTTAGACTGGTTTGTGCAGCCAGATGGTTTCGCTGGATGTAGTGCTTCATGGTAATTGCCGTCAATAGCACAACATCAGTGTTCAGCACTGATTCCTCATTGACGTTCAACCATAATTTATTTGGAAGTCTCATTGTGAGGAAGTGAATAAAAGTGGATCGGGGAGGGGCTTAGTGCTAGCCCTATCACAAGCATCCTTACAAGCCTACGTCTGCAGACACTCATTCGCTCACTTTGACAAAAGCTGACAACAAGAACGCCACCGACATAGATTAGCAATCATAGCACGGACTGTGTACAACGGATATCCATCTTTGGTATGCATTCGTAGGGCTTATAATCAAATTCCCGCGTCCGTTTATTTCCTGATCAAATACCGGTTTATACGATAGTCCTACAACGTCTCCAACCATGCACAGCGGAGATCGTGCGGACCACATCCTGGAAAGTCAGTTGCATCGACAGCACCCAGGCTTTTCGTAATCTACTCAAATACCCGTCTGCCAGGTCAAAGGTTGCTCACCCCGACATTAAAAGACACAGCGTAGGGGACAATGCCCGCTTTTGGTGATTGACTGTCTACCTAGTGTTTCACAATCTGTTTGTCGAGCGATTTTCCCCCGGGTACATGAGCTCGCGTAAATACATGGCGTGCGTCTGTGTGTGTACCTATGTGCTGCGCCCATCGGATGTACTGATAAGCGAGCAAGCTACCTGAATTTTATACGTTACTCGAACGTCTGGCGTTCCTACTCGTTGGGACACTTCACTTGCCTACCAAGTGAGACGATCACACGGCCACTGCAAATCTGGCTTCAGTATACCTTGAAGCGAAATCCTGGATGATCCTGAAATGATCCTAGGACTGCTCGTTGTAAATTTGAGAGATGTGAGTGAAAATTCAAGGATGGATAAACACTTCGTACAGACAGTTAAAATGGTAGTGTCGGTCAATTTCCATCAAATTTCTCATCAAAGCTGCAACAACAAAGAAGCCAATGGTAGCCCCAAATACCAGAATTTGTTTAAGACGAGGGAAAGTAGATTCCAATCAACTGAAAGATGTTTGGGACCGACTGAGTAGTCGTCATTCTGCAGCGGCTTGGTAAACAATCGGTGGATTTATTGCTAGGCAAACGTTTCGTCAAGCCAAGTGAGTGACTTGATCAGGTTGTCCGAATTTTAAGGCAGTCAGAGGATCAATCGGTAAGATTTCTTACGAATAGCCAACTTGATCAGTGTCGTGTCAGTCTGGAGATTCTGTTTGCTGGTTAATGTGGATAGCTGACAATTACTATAAGGGGACTCGCTTTTCCGGCCTAGACTAACTGTATAGAATATTTCTGTTGAGTGTCATTCACAGATTTTGTTCGTCTCTCTGTGTGTTAAGGGGTACCAGGACAATCGGACTGAGGTTTGGGAGGGACTGGATCCTACTGCGTTTGGATTGGGAAAGTAGACCATTAAGAAACCCGTTCAATTGAACGATGAACTTTACAAAACCGCTTCTACGGGAGCATGGGCGGTAAACCTAAGAAGTCAGCTTACCGTTCCATGGTGTTGGAAACTCTGTCCGGGTGAGTGGCCTGACAGTAGACAATAAACTGGGTTTTCTCGGGGGCATGAACGGTAAACCTAAGAAGTCAGCTTATCGTTTCACGGTGTTAGAAACTCTGTCCAGGTGAGTGGTCTGACAGTAGACAATAAACTGGGTTTTCTCTTAACACAACACTACTTATAGGGTTGCTGAGAACGCTTGGGCAGATCTTAACAAGTTCCACCCTTATTGAGGTTCATCAGATAGGCGTATTCCCCGAGTCTCCATTAATATTGCCGGAGTGTACGCAATTGGCGACAAATGGATCTCTCACGTAGGATATTTTCCAATTGAATATGTTCTACAAAGGTCACTCCATGTTTCCCTTGCAAGGTAGTCGAGGTATCGAAGTATGGCTTCGTGACATAACACTACTTATAAGGTCGCTGAAGAATGCCATAGCCGAGATTCCGTTGAGTATCCCGCTACCACCAATTTCGTTTGACAGTCAGCGTATTTAACGAATTGCGCATCGTTTGGTGTTCATGTGAAACCGGCGATTATGTTCATCTGATGAGTCCTAAAAGAAAGGGCTTCCAACATCCACATCAAGAGAAATAGTGCAGAATCCCGAAGTGTCGTTTGTACAACATATTCATTTGTAGGTACCAAAAACCGGAGATTCAGCTAGGATTCGGTCGAATCTCCCGTTAGAACCATCGTAGTTTACTTTGTTGGATCAAAATAGATCGATGACACCCGGGGTGGCACCACCTTGGGGAGACAGGCTATTCGCCTGGTGAATCCTGTCATCGAAGACTAATCCATCCATTTCCGAGGATATGGTGAGGTTAAATGAGGCTTTTATTAGACGTTAAGCCACTTTTACCCATGACAAAATCTTTCAAGACCATTTTCGATCAATCGCGCTTCCTTATTGCGGTGAGTATGGGTCAACGCACTAGGATTCACTGATTTAGCTGTACAGAGTGGAGCCTGATCTCAGTCTGCAGTGATAAAAGTCACAGTAAACCAAACCACTGAGAGGACGCATCCTTGAGGAGGTCGTATTTTTACAGTACAGACAAAGCTGATGTATACATGGATCTCCCCATTTGATTGCTTTGAGGTTTTAGAAAGACAAATCTGCGACTGGATTTTCCTTGGCTGATCAAACGCGTTCAGTTCGTTGGGAACCGGACAGACAGTTGCCAACTAGTGTGCTTGGGGTTTCACATGTGCTTATCTACAATTCGGAGTGGTTGGTCTCGTTTTGTTTCGGATGGGACTCATCGAGGTGATCAAAAATTGGGATCCCAATCGAATTTTACAAATGTGGTTACACGGTAGGTGCTCATCGCCTCTGCATTGTGGCGATGAGTATCCCATTTATGATAGCTTAACTCCTGTTGCCATTGTGGCATTAGTCTAGTGTTCACAATGGCTTTTTTGACTCGAGTGATTTCTGAGTCTAACTCAGTTGAATGTAGCTAACCCTTGCCCTTTCAGTTGTTTCCATCTGACAGTATCTCAGCCTCGGTGCACCAGCCTAGTCGAATCGGTCAGCTGCAAACCGTGCATCGAAGTACAGTGGCTCCAGCTGCCCTCATCGAAACTAAAGAGTTTTTTAATAATAAAAAAACGTTTAGCTGTGACACCCCTTGCTGTACCTAGCTTCCGTGCCACCCGAAATAGGCACGATGGCTGAGATACTGCCCAAGTCGAGATGCAAAGGATAGGTTCGAACCTTGGAACTTCTGGTCGATGAGTTCGCTACCTCCCGCTCAAAAGACAATAAAGGAATAAAGGTCACCCGTTGGATGCTTCTATTCACTACGTTTCTCGACCTAAAGTGGTTTTGTTTGTCCGGTATGATAGGAAGCGAGGGAGCTACGTAGCTTTGATGCATGATCGCCATTTTCTGTCAGCGATTCTCTCGTCCCAGGGTAGAAGACAGTAACCAAATCTACTAGGTTGATTGGTAAAGGCATTCATGCTTCACTGAAAAGTTATAGACCAAACGTCCGCTGCTCGTTCTTATCCGATACATGCCGGAACAAACAGGGCTCTACGAGTGAAACGGAACCTTGGCGTACGAAGCACGGTCTAATCGGCATAACCTATGGAGTGTGACCGACTGATCTATTGAGGGAGAGTGGCTTCTTCAGAAAACCATCTGGCGCTCTCGAGCATTGAGTTGATTTTTCCACCAGACGCAAGCTGTGCTTTGAAGGCAGCGATCGGGAAACACAGTCTTCAAAGATCTACATGAACCAACCACGGCTCTGACCCATCAACTAGGACTGATCGAACCGCGGCATTGTACACTCCACCCCTAATAATCAAGCTGATGTCACGTTGGTGCCACGAATGTCGGAGGTTGTCGAGTGCTCCCCGCGATTCAGGAACTGATTTCGCCAGTTCACCAGGACTTGTTCATCTGTCCATCCATCTGTTCACTTACAAGTGTGAGGTTCAGTTTTAATCTCACCCAATCTTGCAGGAACACTACATTTACCGGTAAAAAAAGCAATAACCGTTCGGCTGTAGCCCCATTTCAGTGCCTAGCTATCATGCCACCCGAAGGAAGCACGAGGGCTGGGATACTTGCAGGTTGCCCAGGCATAGAGGGGGAAGTCGAGAGGCAGAGGTTCGGGTTCGAACCAAGGACTTTGCGGTCAGTAAATTCGCGCTCTAACCACTTAAGCCATCTCGCCTCCCACCCATGACCGCCGTCGTTCTCATGTCGCTACAAACGACTTCCAATCGAGTAGTCGCTTGTTTGGATAGCAGAAGAAGCGAGCTACAGATCCACCAGAAGGTTTAGGCGCAATAGTTAGCATACATCCGGTATGCATTTGGTCTATGAGACCAATTGCTCAGATGAAACTTATCTTAGAACTGCAACACTGATAAGCTTTAGTAGCAACGAAACGTCAATCTGTCGCTTCCGTTGCGTACGAACTAAATTTCGTAGCCGGGAGGCTGTAAGACAAAATTTCTTCAAGTACAACTTCGTCACGGTACGAAGCACATATCGAACTGTGCAACCGAATTATTTAGGTTATTAAAATGGGTGTGATCCAAGAAGAGCACTTTTGTCAGCGTATTCAATGTCTGTGAGCGAGCGTCTCAATAGCATCCCGATTCCTGAGTTGTAAGAGACGGAAGGTTCGTGGTTCGAGCCCGACCTCAGCCTCTCGACTTCCCCTGTCTAGGCTTGGGCAACCTGGCAGTATCCCAGCCCTCGTGCAACCTTCGGGTAGCATGGCAGCTAGGCACCGGAAGGGTGCTACAGCTGAACGATTTATTTTTTTTATTTTATGTTGGAGACGGGTGAATAAGACTCCAGGGGGTATTGATTACGAAGTTACAGGACATCCTTGCCTGACACCATTAGATGTAGCGAACTCAGAAGACAAGTTGTAGACACTTACGCCTACATGAGAGTAATTGTACAGAACCAAGGGCCTTGTCTTTCCAGATACTGATGATCACCGGAGTTGAAAGCAGCTTTCATATCAAGAATAAAGGCCATTGGTGATCGTCAGTAGGAGGCATAGCTGCGACACTTGTCACAGGAAAGATATGCCAAACGTAACTCCAACCACGGAGAAATCCAGCTTGATTCTTGCGAACCCGAATCTCTCAGTGATCTGTCAACGAACATAGGATGATGCCCGAGAACTCCGGTTATTTTCACTCGTGACTGTACCACTTTTACTGAGGGAATCACAGTGCAGATGCTCCATTCTGTCAACAGTTTGTCTTTCTTCCCGGTATTTTAGAGTAAAGTCATCGGGTTAACCACGACGAACTCGTTACTTTCTTTGAAGAATGTACGATGCGAACCGGACTAGAACAGGTATTTTTTGCGCTGATGCAATGAACTTGAACGCTAGACTTTCGTTGTCCACTGGTGTCCCCTCTCTATTCATGTTCAAATAGTCCCTTAGAGGTTGAGTTACTGAGAGCCATTGCTCAGAACGATGTTTCTGCGAATGAGCTGAGATCCACTTCTTTCCGGACGTGCTCTCCTGAGACTAGTTTGACCGAATTAGCTGGAACAGATTGCGATTGTTCCCAGTATCAAAAGCGTTCTCAGTTTCCGGGGCAGCACTGTATCTCAATCCTTCATTATTCGGGATCTGCGCGCGCCGTCACAGCCGTTTGTTGCCGGTTTGTTCTTCCTGGCGTCAATGAGAACAGCTGTTAGTGACGAGATCCAGTTTTCATGAGGGGCGGGGTGTTGTGATCGACCTCGGACAGACGGTCTCAGTACTCATAACCATCTTACCCATCCAGTTTTGGAAGCTATCAGTTTACTCAACTCAATTTTGTTGAACTACAGAGATTCTTTGGCGCATTCCACGCTGAAAGCGAATAGATACACAGGCCTACACAATGACATGGAGTTATTTTTGTTCATAGCCACATCACTCTCGTTTGGACGGCCGTATTCCTGTTCTGGCGTAATTATTCCGGTGAGTCCACACCAAAGGGAAGTACTGGACTCGAGCTTCGCTCCCATTAGAGCTCATCAGCAGGGCATATCCAATGGCCGTGGGGGATTTGAACCCCGCTCGCCTCGCATGTCAGATGTCCGGGGTTCAAATCCCAGCACGGTCATTGGATATGCACTGCTGATGAGCTCTAATGGGAGCGAAGCTCGAGTCCAGTACTTCCCTTTGGTGTGGACTCACCGGAATAATTACGCTTGAACAGGATTACGGCCGTTCAAACGAGAGTGGTGTGGCTACGAACAAAAACACCCATCCCGCAAAACCCCATAATTGCGACATGGAGTTAATTGGTGTACTCCAAAAGGAACGAGAATGTTGTATCAAAGCTCCCGCCGATTGTCACAGCCCACATACGTCCAGGACTGGTTTGTGGTTGGTGGCCCCCAGGTAACACGTTGTGAACGCTTGTGTTGGGTTGCACCCAAAAAGGTATCGGCCTGAATCGACTACAACAAACCTCCGAATCAAACCAAGGTGCATCACCCATAACAAGAAGCCGAGTTATGTGAAACATGAAGTTACTGGGTTTAGGTTCCCAGCCCACAGAGCTCTAATTGAACAACCACGTGGTCGGTACAGATCACAAGAGAATATAATTTGTCCTCGGTAGAAAATATGGCGGAACGAAAGAAATAACACAAAAAACAAGGGGAAAGCGCTATGGACTAAATTGTGTTTGGGAGGGGGTGGGGTAACTACACTTTCCGAGTGCATATTATCGACTCTGTAATAGGTCACTTGATAAGGGGAAGCAACAAGTCTAGTATCGTAGAAAAAAAGAGAACATAACTAGCCATGTGGTAATGGTGACAACTACAGAAGGCGATAGAGGCTAAGTATGCAATGTGTGTTGATGTGTCACCTGGACGGTTTCTTCCAAAGTGCTGACCGTAGAATCCGGATTCACGACTGGGCTAGTCTTGGAATCAGCGGCAACGAACTTTCAAGCCGGGTTTCCAGACATTCTAAAAAATTGACGGAAAGATGTTCTGAGGATCCAAAATGGATAATGTGGTCTGTAGCGTTAGTGAAAAGTTGTCAAACCGCAACTGTTGCCTAACTTGTGTGGGCACAACAGTTTTCAGTCTGTTACTGGCACAATCTTGAAGAAACGAGTACTCTAGATGCTCAACAAAGGGGGGAGTTTGGTGAAGTAAGAAAGGAAGGCTGTTTGTGAGAAACTTTCAGTAGCACCTTATATATGAGGTTATGATCCAGGATGCATCGCAGACGACGATGCCTGCATTTTCAAAGATCAAACCCGATCGCACTATCAGGACAGGTGCAAGTTAGTTTGAAAGCCAATGAACTTCTCCCCCACTGACAAGCCTCGTGGCCTGCAGCCAATCAGCTGCTAGGTTGCGTTTCCTGCCCTGTGATTGGCTGTCCACAACCAAACAGTGCAAGCTCCAAGTTTACTTAACGACTAGACACTGGAAAAGGACAAAAGTACAAACTGACCGAAAATCAGCCGGAAACAAGCGTGGAAAGTTGAGTGGTGACTACTTGGAGCTGCTGAGTATCGACAGATGCAAGCCTGTTAGGTTTCAGTGGAAATGTCGCCGGTCCTGTAATCCAGGCTTATTTTGTCACCAATTCAATCTCAGTGAGGTACACATGATCTAAACACGGTGGCTGTCTATTGGGCTGATATCAGTGTTAAAACAGCTCACCTGGGTATCACGTGTCTACCCAGCCATTATACACGATGCTTGCTTGAGTTATTTGATCTAATAATTCGACGAAACTCATACGTGCTCAAATTTCATATAATCTTCGTACCCGAGTAGTTTGAGGATCACCTGAACATTTCCACCTGTCTTCTGACCATAGCATTTGGAGCACTCTAGGTGAGTTATTAACAGTGGAAATTCAGATAGGGGAACGGTTGACTGACCGGCTTTGTCAAAGGTCATGAGACCTGATTGTCATTGGTGGCTGGCCGACAGCAGTGAGTGGACTGATGGCACTGTAGTTTAGGTCACCATTCGAACCGATAAGATCGTCTACCATTGATACTAATGCAGCTTGGGCAAGTTCATCCAAGGTTGGAGACAAAAGTAATGTGCATCCGGTTGCTGGCTGCTCTTCAAGATAGCTGTTACCTCCTCCCTCGTTTGTGCTCATTTCTTCGGGACTGGAACAAACAGAAGATGCACAGGATCCATACGCGTGGTTTTTAACTGAGGTTGAGTGTCTGGAAAATTTGCACTGGTCCTCAAGCCCCCCGTGTGCCCAGTATTTTTCAGCAGCTGTTTGGACCCGACTTAACTGCCGACTGTGGGTTGGTTGTGAAAACCCTCTTGTCCATTCGGTCACGTGTGATGGCTGAAAGGAAAGAAATGGTTCAAATGAGCTGAAGCGAAAGATGTAGATAAATGAAAATTTCTTTTTTGGCTTTGATGTTCGTCAAAGCTCATAAACCAGGTCAAGGGGGAACAAACAGTTCCTTTCGAAGGCTAACCTGGCACTCAATACACCTATCGACCTTGTAGAAAGGGTTAACTTTAACTCAAATTTTGGTCTCTCATACACGTCAGCAACCGCATTTCTTAGTGTTTACTTGTAATTTCAAATGTGTTGTGTGGAAGAACCATTTCCTAACCTCCATTCAGTATGTGACAAACTGGTGGTTCCCGTACTTTCACACAGTTTGAGCCCTTCAGTTAAGGGGGTGAGGTTGACCAAGCGGTTAGAGCGCGAACTTGCTGACCGGAAGGTCCGTGGTTCGAGCCCGACCTCTGCCTCTCGGCTTTCCCTGTCTAGGCTTGGGCGTTCTGGAAGTATCCGAGCCCTCGTGCTTCCTTCGTGTGGCATGGCAGCGAAAGGCACCGAAAGGGTGCTACAGCTGAACGATTTATTTTATTTTTTGGCTTCAGTTGAGGGACTGATCCTGGAACAAATCGTAATAATCAATCAATCGGTAAATGCCATCGAACCTGAATGTGCTTGCCAACTTCCAGAGCTCAAACAATTGGTTTTGTACTCTATAGCTTCTGTTTTTAGTCTGCGTTGGTTTCGAAAACGACATATCCGCACTTCATCTGAGTGTATCTCCACTAGCGGTTGATATAAAACAAGCTACTATCTAGTTATGTAGTAGGTAGACAAAAATGTGGACCTCAATACCGGCGCGTTGACGAGCTCACCCAAGGTCGGTCTCGCAAAATGCGTGGGCTGCGACGCCGAACCATCTTTGTCGACTCCCTCGATGTGCACGTTTGGTTGTATTGTGGCAGCTTTTTTTTCGAACATGCTGCCTTGTGTTGGCGCGCCCGAGAGCTCACCGTGCCTGAGCGTGTCACGGGTGAATATCCGTACTGAGTAGTCTGACCAGATTGCCACAATAGAGTATGTTCACCTGCTTTTGGAAAGCCGCAAAGTGCTGGGTTGATTGGATGGGTTTGGTCTCTCACAGTGTGTTCGTTGGGTCGCAACAAAACTGTCCACCGGCTGGAAGTGTCGGATTGAGTTATCTGAACAGATCTGGTTTGTACCGGAAGGGATTGAAGAAATGGTTGGCTCGATTCCATGGGTGCCATGCTTGCAGCTAGTGGAAAACAGGAAATCTGTTGAGCAGGTTTTATACTTGAGCTGATTTTTGTATGTCCAGGAGTTTCCGCTGGCTGTCGTGGTTGTTCCGTTTTGATTTCTTCACTCATCCGGTCCTCTGGAAAGGCATTCCATAGGGGGCTCGGCGATTCACAACTGAAATATTTGAGAATGAAGTACCGGGTTGAACCAACCCGGAAGCGACATTCGTTATCATTGGTCTGTGTGTGTGAGGCATAAGGCCCGTGAAAAATCGACGAGAATATATAAAAATGTGCACCGGGAACACATTAAAACCTACCCTGCCATTTGATGCCAGCAATCAAAACAGTGAGTGTCACAATCCAATGTCATCAGCGAGCGAATCCAAACATAACGAGCGACCTTAAGTCCGGGCCGTCGGTTTGCTGGATGACAAACGCGATAAGTTGGACTCCAACTCATAGACCCAAGAGTTACTGCGGGGGAACAGGAAATCGCATCTAGATTGAACATTTCTAACAAGCGTTGGGTGAGACACCTTTGCAAACATGACAGTTACAATTCATTTTTGAAACAGTGGTTATCCAGGAGACTGGAACTGCATAATACAGCTACCAAAAGTGATCAGCTGAAATTCTACGTCGACCCATTAGAGATGAGTTGTCGCGTTTCTGCTTATCAGTTTGTTCAGCAATGTATCGAAGTATCGATGGTTCAGGTGAGTCAATGGGCCGTTGATCAGGGAACTCGGCGCCAAAAATCTTCCATATCGGGCACTTTTCATGGATGAGTAAATCACTCTGCTTGCCGGAGTCTACTTTTTTCCTAACTAGATATGTGTAGTCTTCAACCGAGCACATTTCTAAGATGGAAGATAATTTTTCGAAAATTAGTCTGAAAATACAAGGCTGTGCAATGAAAGTGCCATGCACAAGAAATCACCTAGTGGGGCCCCTTTGTGAACCCCCCACGGAAGGTGCAAATGAGTATCGTTCATCACTCACGACTTTGTGTGACTCTAGCCCCCTCCTCGCAGCCAGAATACCATAACTCCTGATATCTACTAACATGTTGTTACATGCAAATACAACTAAACACGGATCCAAGATACAATGCAGGTGATGACAATTACGAACCGAGGAGAGCAATGTATTGAATATCACACTGAAAAACAGGCGCTTAGAACTGTAGAGGTCACTCATCAGATCACGCGTCACAAACACTCAAACCAATTTCTGTCCCAATTGCAACCTCAGCCGACAACACGTACACTGCAACTTCCCATCCATTTTTGTTTACGCGGCCCCCACTTGCGTAACACGCCACGCTTATGAACTTCAACACACCAGGTCAAGTTGTATTCATCAAACACGAAGGGACACCTCTCTCTTCACACTGCACACAATAAATAGGCATACAACTCGGCCCAACACACACTCGCGCGTGCGCAGGGAGCAGGAAGTCAACCCCGGGCCGTCGGTTTGCTGGATGACAAACGCGATAAGTTGGACTCCAACTCATAGACCCAAGAGTTACTGCGGGGGAACAGGAAATCGCATCTAGATTGAACATTTCTAACAAGCGTTGGGTGAGACACCTTTGCAAACATGACAGTTACAATTCATTTTTGAAACAGTGGTTATCCAGGAGACTGGAACTGCATAATACAGCTACCAAAAGTGATCAGCTGAAATTCTACGTCGACCCATTAGAGATGAGTTGTCGCGTTTCTGCTTATCAGTTTGTTCAGCAATGTATCGAAGTATCGATGGTTCAGGTGAGTCAATGGGCCGTTGATCAGGGAACTCGGCGCCAAAAATCTTCCATATCGGGCACTTTTCATGGATGAGTAAATCACTCTGCTTGCCGGAGTCTACTTTTTTCCTAACTAGATATGTGTAGTCTTCAACCGAGCACATTTCTAAGATGGAAGATAATTTTTCGAAAATTAGTCTGAAAATACAAGGCTGTGCAATGAAAGTGCCATGCACAAGAAATCACCTAGTGGGGCCCCTTTGTGAACCCCCCACGGAAGGTGCAAATGAGTATCGTTCATCACTCACGACTTTGTGTGACTCTAGCCCCCTCCTCGCAGCCAGAATACCATAACTCCTGATATCTACTAACATGTTGTTACATGCAAATACAACTAAACACGGATCCAAGATACAATGCAGGTGATGACAATTACGAACCGAGGAGAGCAATGTATTGAATATCACACTGAAAAACAGGCGCTTAGAACTGTAGAGGTCACTCATCAGATCACGCGTCACAAACACTCAAACCAATTTCTGTCCCAATTGCAACCTCAGCCGACAACACGTACACTGCAACTTCCCATCCATTTTTGTTTACGCGGCCCCCACTTGCGTAACACGCCACGCTTATGAACTTCAACACACCAGGTCAAGTTGTATCCATCAAACAAGAAGGGACACCTCTCTCTTCACACTGCGCACAACAAATAGGCATACAACTCGGCCCAACACACACTCGCGCGTGCGCAGGGAGCAGGAAGTCAACCACTCTCCACAAGTCCACGAACAACTATGAAACACGTGTAGCGACCGAACTGCGGAGAAAACACTTTCCCGCCGTCCGGACTTGCACCAAGGAACTCTCACAGACGATAAGTTCCTCCTTTTCCCTTGCTCCCACTTTGCATTGTATTCATTTTTATACGTGTGGCATCTCGCCATTGTCAACCATAGTAAAAACCTTTATTAGTGCATACACCTTCTGATTTGTGTTATGGCCATCATCAGCAGTACACCAAAGCAGAACCACAAAGATGATTCACGTTTTCTCGTAGTGAGATGAGTTGGGATGAAATATCGACTAAAAGCATTCTCTGGTTGATTACATTCATATCTGTCCACAAACTGAAACGTATCTGTGATCGATCGCTAGCTCCGATCGAACTGGCTCAGGGGACGAGATGGCTCAAGTGGTTAGAGCGCGAATTTACTGACCATAAGGTCCGTGGTTTGAACCCGACCTCTAGCTCTCGACTTCCCCTGTCTAGGCTTGGGCAACCTGGCAGTATCCCAGTCCTCGTGCTTCCTTCGGGTGGCATGGCAGCTAGGCTTTAACAGTTTTGTTAACCATCTTGCAACTGAATTACAGCATGGACAACACAACGCTAGGGTTTCGACCTAATCGTTAGTCGCGGCTTGTGAAATTTCAATAGGTAGAGGGATGACTGTTCCTGTGAATATTATATCATCATAGTACAAATCTGCTAAAGTTCTGAGTTCGTTGGCCAGTTGTGTCCTTCTCATTAGAGCCTTTTTGATGTGTGGGTGCATCGTTTAGCAAATCCCTCCTCTTGTTTATGTAATCACTTCATCAATACAATGAAAACCGAGCTACTAACCGACTTGGATATTACGACTCATGTGTTTTGATTCGGTGCCCTCAATTTTTCTCGATACCGTCATGGGGCCACGATATGGTTTATCGTTACGTAAAAACTGGTAACACATGTCAGCCAACGCATATTATTCCAACTCGATTGCTGGTTTACGTTCCCAGCAAACAGGTTTGTGAACTGAGTCTGTTAGCTCATTCGATCCCGTCCACCGTGAAATTTCAGCCCCAACGACAACATCGTTAAGACAGAGTTCCCAGTCCGAATTCTCGGAGTCTTCTGGATGCGAAGAAAATAACGCTTCCGGTGTTTCACAGATCAAGAATTTTACCTAAAAATCACGCCTGTTTGACTTTTAACTGCAGAACCGCTACAATCAAACAAGTGGTCACAAAGGTGACCTGGTAAGTTGTTCACAGCTTTACACAACCGAGCAACATTGACTTCAAAATGCTTATCATTCCTTCAGTGCAGTTGCCTCCATCTCGTTTGTTGTATGTCACCTGAGCGTCTCTGCCATGAATTCAGTATTCTGACTTTCGGAACAAAAAGAGTAAATATCTTTTTGGCAAAGTCATCTTCGAACTAGTACAGGAGAAAGTCTGTCGTCAGCGAACAGTCAACCAAGACTCTACGTATCACAATGATTGGTTCATCCCGACCCAACGTGTAGTCGGCATGCTGTCAACTCGGCCGGTAAACAACTTTCTCGGTTTGGTCAAGATAGCCTGACCTTTCGAACAAGTTGCCTTTGGCTGCAATGCAGGCGAATTGCGATGGCCTTAGAGTATCAATGCAGGCTGCGATGGCCTTAGAGTATTGTGTTGGAACACGATAGATGACTGGAGAAGCTAACTTTGGGTCCACAGCATGGTTGTTGTTTGTCGGATGTTTAACCCGGTGCTTCTAATCATTTTTTTGCTTTCAAGCAGGTGGAGTAGTGTTCAGAGCCCTTTTATAAAAATTTCTCGAGGTTTGGCTAATTTACCCAGCATTAGACGAACACACACAATTGTGGAAATTCGAGACCCCCCCTGTCCTTAAGATGTTGAACAGTTATGGACTCGCTGGAAAGGTGAATGGCTCAAAAAACAAACGGTACGATAAATGTGACATTCTATTTAAAACTTTTATTTCACTCACGTTTCGACAGCACGCCCACAACACCTTCCAAGTCGTCCGGATGGATGAACGAAAGGTACGACTGGCCAACAATGTTGAATTCTTCTTCCAGATCCCCAAACATTGGATGGCTGAGCAAACAGACAGATAATTTTATACAGAGTTAACTCTTGTGGGTCATTGATCACAGATCAATTTGCTGGCGAAAAACTTGGTTAGTCGAGGCCGGGCCTCTGAATGTTTGGTGGCCCTCCTAGTATTTTCTAGCGTAACTGCCAAGCTAGTCGGCAATCAGTCCAGTCCATTGACCGTTGCCCTTCATGGTTCCGGTGACAGTTAGCTTAGAATCTCACCAAGGGTTATCGAGAAATGTGTGACTGAATCCCAGTCTTCCACATTTACTTGCCTCATCAGGTCATCTAGAACGTTTGGACCATGCACTTCCAAAAAAATTCGGGTAGCCTCGATGCCCTTGATCCTCCACGAGGAACGATGATAAGTCGTTAACCACTACTAGCATGCAAATTAATGTGATTGATCAAAAATTTGAAAAGGCTATCACAGAACACTATCAGCCAACCAACAGCTGGATAAGTCCATCATGAACCAAAATAAATATGCTCAAACGAGGCCAGTGAACCTGGCAAGATCTCTGTGCTAGTGTTGACACGGTGACCCCGTTACACCGTATCGGTTGTTCAGTCGTGTCCTACAACAACTCTGTATCGCTGACCGATAAAAAACGGTCAGAGTAAGCGAAACACCCTGCTCGCCAGGTTGCTGAAACGGAGCATCATAAACGGGAAGAAGCTCAGCTAGATCTGTTATCAAACCAAATTTGTGTGCAAATGAGGGTATATGCTCCCCCGATGATCCCACGTATCTGTATTTGCCCACTATCACTGAAAGCCTGTCGTGGCACTGGGCAATTTGTACAGAAGGTGTCAAGATCTAGCACGAATAATGCGGCCTACATGTACCACACAATCCTCAAGAATCCAGATGTCAGCATAGAGTACTTTCATTGATTTTAACAGTTCCCTTGATTCAAGTGCCGGTGAGATCCTGTTTCGAAAAAACTTCTTTACTCATACAGACTACTTTTCAGATTAAAGTAGCACGTCAAACCTCATCCAAGCCTATTCATTGCTCCTCAATAGTCGTATGGTTCGTTCTGATAATCCACGAGAAATGATGAACAAAGGAATTTGTGTCCTTTTTGTCTCGTCATGTTCCATTCTAGTGGTTTATCCTGCCAAAAACCTACGACAATCTATAGTATGAGGCGCACCAAGTTCCACCTATTGTATGTTTCAATCAATCACTCGAAAACAGGTTATTGCGCGCTTCCTTGTCACACTGTCTAGGTGAAGTTTCCCATTTCGTGGCGTTCGTCCGATATGGAAGATATGTCGAAGCAATATACTGTTTTTAAATGTATCCGACCGTCAGAACCGGACTCACGGATACTTTAAACAATGGCTCCAGCTTAGCTCGGATATCTTGATAGCCGCGCGATCTAGTGCTCCGAGGGGATATCGATCATCCTGAGCGCTACTATCCATAAAATTTTTCGTGGGCAGTTGTTTACTGAAAGTGACCACTACGAGAGATAAACAGTTAATACGCACAAAACTCATCGGTTTATTCCATTGTACGGAAGATCACGTAACATGCTCTCCATCCTCGATACTGCAAGTGGCCCCAGCCGTATTGGTCTGGTTCAATGGTGCCTAATGTGATAGAATGCAGTAAATAGGACGTTAAGGGAGCACGCCATATTCCTGTTTTGTACAATCGATCAAAGTATATGAAGGCCTGATAATCTTGCAGAAGGCTGGCTGTCTACAGTGCTATGCGACCCACTCTCAGGTACATTGAAAGTATAACTGAAAATTGGTTGCACAATAAATCAGG